CATTTGTTAAATACCTTCTTTGTTCCAGTCACTTTACTAAACGGTTATGAAAAAAATGATTAATGTCATGAGAAAATACTCTATAATATATTTCAATTAATGGAGTATAATCAACCCAGTACATTTAATTGAATGGATTGTTATTTCTCAGTAATTTGAAATCCCATACGTATCACATATTAAAATTAAAGATTTCTCTTTTTTGTTTTTGTAAGATCATTGTCATTCTTAAACTGTACCAGATTTTTAAAAAATACACACTAAAATACTTTACAACATGGAGAAACTAAAAATATATCATTGCAATAAAAATAAAAAAATAGTTCAATATAATATAATAATCATTCATGATTTTAAAAGATTCTTAGAAACCAAGGAGAAGATAACTCCCTTAGTGTTAGAAAGTGAAAATCAAACCCCAGACAAAATATCAAAATATCTCCTCAAAATTTACAAAGAGACAAATACATGCTGTAATCATCATTTCTACTCAATTTTGATTCAGGCCTTAGCCCACAAAGATGAGAGAGAAAATAACAGGATTTAAAGATAGAGCAAACATATAAGAATTCCTGAATAGAATCCAGGATTTTAAAAAAAGGAAAGAATAAATGTGGTATAATTGAAAAGGAAAATACCAATAATTTTTGAAATATGAGACAAACTACACTGTCATTTTCACACAACAGAAGCACTCCTTAGTCAACTTGGAGATAGACGATCTTCGTCAGTCATGTTGCTCTACTGGGCACAATTGTATTAGACTTTTGCTTTCAAATTAGCAAAAAAAGTTGAATATTATCTTTATGTGTTTTTCTTTTCCCTAGATAAAACTAATCACTCCTAAGCAAATCCAATGTAATTGGTCAATTTGCTTCCATCCAGCAAGACCACGCGGTACGAGACTGGAGCAGCACATCTCCAAGTGTGCTCCTCAGACCCACAATATAAACATCACCTGGGAACTTGTTAAAAATACAGCAACTTATGATCCACTCAACATATATTGAATCAAAATATTCATTTGAATAAAATTGTCCAGTGATTTTTCTGCATATTAAAGTTTAAGAAACACTACAATGAGATATCACCTCACTCCAGTCAGAATGGCTATAATTAACAAGACAGGAAACAGCAAGTGTTGGAGAGGATTTGGAGAGAAGGGAACCCTCATACACTGCTAGTGGGAGTGCAAACTGGTGCAGCCACTATGGAAAGCAGTATGGAGTATCCTCAGAAAATTAAGAATAGATCTACCATATGATCCAGCTATTCCATGCTGGGTATTTATCCAATGAACTTGAAAACACAAATGCATAAAGATACATGCGCTCCTATGTTCACTGCAGCATTATTCACAATAGCCAAGACTAGGAAACAAGCTAGGTGCCCCTCAAGGGACAAACGGATAGAGAAGATGTAGTATATATACACAACGGAATACTACTCAGCCATAAGAAATGATGAAATCTGACCATTTGTGACAACATGTATGGACCTTGAGGATATTACGCTAAGTGAAATAAGTCAGAGGGAGAAAGTCAAATACCATATGATCTCATTCATAAACAGAAGATAAAAACAAGGACAAACAAACACATAGTAACTGAGATTGGATTGGTGGTTACCAAAGGGGAAGGGGGAAGCAGGGGAAGGCAAAAGGGGTGATTAGGCTCACATGTGTGGTAATGGACTATAATAGTTTTTGGGTGGTGAACATGATGTAATCCACACAGAATTCGAAATATATTATGATGTACACCTGAAAGCTATATAATATTATAATCCAATGTTACTGCAATAAAAAATAAAAGAAAAAAAGAGAAACACTAAAGCCCTTTTTTATTGCCAAATATATGTGATTGTATAATAATGGAGGTTAGAGAGTTAGGAGGATTACAGACAAAAAATGACAAGCCATAGTGAATTTGTCTCTCTCTAATTTTCGTACCTTTAATTAGGTCACGAGATTGTTACATCAGATAAAGTAGATATGATTTATACTACAAAGGAAGGCTGTCTGCACATGATTGCTGGTCTATGGTTTGCTCATATTTGTTCCAAAAAGAATCTCCTGCCACAAAGTCAGTATAGTATAAATCTACATAGTCTAACATGGCTGACTCCATTGATTGGATAACCATGATTGACTAAGAGACTGCAGAGGCAAGCAATAAAGTGGAAGACATATGTGCTATATGTAACCAAGAAATGGCTTTGCCTATGTTTATAAAAAAACACGAATCAATTACAGAAAGACAGATAATCCAATAAAAATTAGAAAAAATACTTGAACAGATACTTCAAAAGAAGAAATACAAATGACCTATAAACATATGAAGAGGAATATAATTTTAAGTTGGAAGAAAATGAATATACAATATTGATGGCCTGATCTCTTTCAGAACTTGAGGTTCTAGAACACCTAGGTGACTCATCCCAGGATGTGCCGGCAAATGAGCCAAGAGCAAGAGTTGACGATTAGCTATTGAATTTGAATACGGCTCCCAAGATCTTATCAGACTCAATTTCTTCAGTCTGAACCTTCATTATGAGTTCAGTCCTCCATCTGTGTCCCTTGAGTTAACCTCTTAGAAGATTTTCCATGAAGTATGGTGTGATTCTCCAAACAGCCCTTGCTTGTAGTACTCCCCAAGGGCTCTCTGGGCTTCATACGATGGTGCTTACAAAGCAGACAAAAGGAGTCTAAAGGATTCTTCTCTGCTTTTAATCTCTTTCTTGCCATTGACTTTTGGGTGAAGTGTCACACTGGTATAAAAAAAAAAAAACACGAAAGAGGTAAGATATAATTCTACTCTTTCAGAATATTTGACATAATTTGCATTTCATTTTTTATCTCTTTGGATCCTGAAGAGATGTTAAATGAGAGCAAATGAGAATTTGCCCAATGAGATTGAGAATCTTATAGCACTACCAAGGAAAGACAGAATGTACGTTGGTGAGAGTATATGTCCAGTGAAGTTTTAGAAATGCCCAGTCTCGATGATACGTGTAGGAAGGGTTAGATCCCAAATATCACATGATTCTTTATTTTATGTCTCCTAGTAGATAGATACCTGACCTTAGGCAAATTATTATACCTCTCTAAGACTTGTTTTCTTATTTATAACATGAATAATGCAATAGCATAAAAACATAAATGAGAAAAATCTATATAAATCATTTAGCGAGTATCATATTACTATATGTGTTAAAATAATAACAAATATATAATAAAATAGTTAAATTTATGGGTACTTATCCTGCACATTTAAATTAAATCTCAATAGTGGCTACCTCTAAAAAACAATGAAGTCTTCAAGACAATGGTGAGACAAAGGCCAGAACACAAATATCCTCAGTCTATCGACATAAGATAACTTTAACCCTTTCTAGCACAGTTAGAAAACAAGTTATATACCTCAGATAAGGAGTTTCAGAAGATGAGTAAATTCGTAAGATAATGGATATCATGTGTTATCTGCAGCCTGGGCCTTTCTCTTAAGTTCCAAACACTTGTCCTTAATAAGCCATAGATTCCAAAGGAAACTCTGGGTGTTCACCCTCCTAAAGATTGGCAAGAAGATCAAAACCCAGCAAAGAAGCAGCCAGTATGATATAGAAACACTAAGTGATTATACTTTCTTAAAAGCTAAGGTTCTCCCATACTCTCAATATTCCTATAAAAGTCTAAGAGTTAACCCTGACAGGTAATTAAAAATAAGGGGGATTGTGTGAATGATTGAACGGAGAGTCAATAATTCCTAGATCATTAAGAAAATGGAAAAAAAGAACATACAAAGGTAATGACTTTGGAGAAGATAGACACCCTTTTGGAGAAACAGCCAAGGAATTGTGTTTTCATGTGTTAAGAAGCGCAATATTTTTTGTTGTTTGCAGAGCAACAAATGAGGAATCTAAAGCAAAACAAACAGTAAAAATTCACATACAACGCTGTTTGATAGAATAGATGAAGGTTAGTCTGAAAAAGAGATGGCTTACAGAGGAAATCATTACTGTCTTCAGTTTGGGGAAATTATATTCAATTAAATAAATAATTATGAAGCTACAAAAACTATATTCCACTTACTATGCCAGGCACTGGAGATGCAGTAGTGAATAGAGTGACTGTGACTTCCTACTCTTAAATTCTAGCAGTGGGAGAGGGCAGACACCAGTCAAGCAATGATAAGGGAAATAATAAAGAAGGTATTTTGTGTAAATGGAACTAGATTCTGTGTCTATAGAGAAAAGAATATGCAAACTTTTATAAACATTTATCAACTCAATCCAAGGAAGAAAAGCAGTCTGAGTATTCAACCAAGAACTAGAAAGGTTTAGGTAGTGGTTCATATACTAATACTGGGATCAAGCTAGGACATGTTGGCTGATGATGACCTGTTCATTCAGGGCAGTTCTGTAAAGGCAGGAGAATAAGACTACTATTTTCTAAAGGCCTTTTTAACTCCAAGACTGTATAATTATGAACTTCCAGTTTGCCATTACTTCAAATGTTTACCCTGTTAGAGATATACAGGTTTGAATATAGATATGGAATAATTTATGAACCACCCCTCCAATCCATAGTAGACTTTTCTTTTCCCTTGAAGATTTTGTTTTTATACAACTGAGATAAGAGAACCATAAAATTGAAGACCTGGATTTCTGAGATTGGGCTGTGGGGAGCTGCACGTGGTCAAAGGATTGTCTGGGATTGTTAAATGTGCAAAGTTCAAATAATTGACACTTTAACAAAATTGAAACAGATGCCTGGATGAAGAAGCAAGTCAGATTTTTCTCATTGATTTCTGTGTTTGACTTTTCTTACAGCCTGAACTGACACTAGAAACATAGACTATTTACCTTAGGAAATCTCTGATAGTCCTCTTAGTATCTATGACCCACATTATACCAGAAAAGGACAGCTTCTGCCACATCTTCACTTAGAGGATTCCAACTGTGCTGAGGTAAGCATCTGGTTAAGTATCTTTTCATGTGTCATGTCTCGTCTTAATGACACAAACATTGAAGTTCTTAGATTCCTCCTTATCGGGATCCCTGGACTGGAGAAGAGTCACATCTGGGTATCTATTCCTTTCTCAACAGTGTACCTTCTTTCTCTCCTGGGTAATTTTACTGTCCTCTTCTTTATCAAGACAGAGCCAAACCTCCATGAACCCATGTACTATTTCCTTTTGATGCTCTCTATCTCTGACGTAGGGTTATCCCTCTCTTCCTTACCCACCACTTTGGGACTATTCCTGTTTGGTATCAATGAAATTTGTGCAGCTGCTTGCTTTGCCCAGGAGTTTTTTATCCATCTATTCACAGTCACCGAAGCCTCCGTGCTCTCTGTAATGGCATTTGACCGATACATGGCCATCCACAACCCTCTGAGATACAGCACGATCTTAACCACCTCCAGAGTCATCAAAACAGGGGTCTTATTGACTTCCAAAAATATTATTTTGATCCTCCCACTGCCCTTTCTGTTGCAATGGCTGACATATTGTCATCAAAACCTCCTCTCACACTCCTACTGTCTCCACCAGGATGTCATGAAGCTGGCATGCTCTGACAACAGAGTCAATGTTGTCTATGGACTCTGTGCTGCTCTTTCTACTATTCTGGATTCATTGTTTATTACTTTCTCCTACATAATGATCTTAAAGATGGTACTGGGCATTGCAACTCCCAGAGAGCAGCTTAAGGCCCTCAACACCTGCATCTCTCATATCTGTGCTGTGCTTCTCTTCTGTGTGCCCATGTTGAGTGCAGCAATGCTCCACCTTTTTGCCAGGGATTTGTCTCCTATGATCCACATCCTCATGGCAGATGTTTTCCTGCTGGTGCTACCCCTGATAAACCCCATTGTGCACTGTGTGAAGACCCATCAAATCTGAGAAAAGGTTGTGAGGAAACTTTGTCCAAAAAGAAGTTGATCAAAGGGATGAGAAAGGGAATACGTTAATAAGTGAGAACTAAATAAACTTTGAATGGGTAGCAGGAAGAAAGCATGCTATAGTAGAATGGCTTTGGGTTTTATAGTCAGGCAGAGCTTATAGAGTGAATGGCTTTTGATACTCACTATCCTTAGTATCCTTAGCATCCCTGAGATCTTGAGAAAATTACTTGAGCTCTCTGACTCTCAGATTGAACATCTAAAAATTTGAGACTTCAATGAAGACTCTAAGCTTCTGCTTCCTGCTTTTTAGAACATAAACCACTAAAATAATATGAGAAAACTACCTCTATCTATGCCTATATTTAAAAAAAGATAGTTTCCATACTTTCATGGCAAATAAAAGCTTATTAAGAGAAAGGCTAAAATGCTTCCCCTGTTTTAACTAAGACTCATGATGATGCGGTGGTTGATTGATAGGTCTAATTCCTGAATATCAAATCTGCCTCTACACATTCACTGATTTTAAAATCTGTATATCAACAGGATATTTGGATACAAATTCAAAATGTAAATGTTACTATTCTAGAGTCATGTTTGTCAAAGACTTTATTACTAAGGGCAGTAAAAAAATGACCATATCTCACTATATATTTATTTTAGAGGAGGTTGTAAAAAATAAAAACAAACAAACAAAATCATAAAATTCTCCTCTTATTTGTGCATGCTCAGCTCTGGCAATTCCTTTTTAAACTTTGTCCCCGTGTATATCTTACACCACTTCTTAGAATCAGCTTATTCTAACCGTTTATCTAGAAGCATCATTTTATGATTTAGAGGAAATTTAATGAAGACGTTACTATTTCACTCAATCTTTTATCCAGATAAGGTCTTACTTTCATCTGCAAACCTTCCCTGACCATTTTCAGCTTAGATATTTTAACTTCCCCTGAACATCAATCTTTCTGTATTTATTAATCATTTCATATGTCTTATGTATTACTTTGTTTTATATATATATACACACATATATATATGTATGTATATATAGTGGGTAAAGTTAAGAGGTAAGAAAGGTTGATACTTTGGAGACTCTATTCAGATTGAGAATAAGTCAACTTCAAGGAAGATAAGGTTTCTTGACAAGGGACCATGTCCCAGGTATAGCTGAATAACAAACCACTCCAAAACTACTAACTTAAAACAAGAGCAATCGTTTATTTCTTCATAGTTTTGCAATTTGTGCAGAGTTCAGCAGCGACAACCTGTCTCCGCTCCACGTGGCACCAACCTGGGAACCTTCAACAGGGCTGGAGGATACACTTCGAAGATGGTTCACTCTCATCCCTGGCAGTTGATGCTGGTTGTCAGCAGTGAGCTTAGCTAAACTCCTTCATATGCCTTTCCACGTGGCTTGGGATTCTAAAAACGTGATAGCTAGATTACAAGAAGGAGCAGCAAAAGAGAGTATTCCAGGAAGCAGGACAGGATCTTCTAGTCTGTTAAGGAGTATATCTGGAACAGGTAGGTACAGGGCCACTTCCACGGCATCTATTAGTTATACATTCATGGAGCATACTCAGATTCAAAGAAAGGGAAATAAACCCCACATCTTGATGGGAGAAGTGATCAATTATTTGAAGCTGCCTTCAACCTACCACAGACTAAAATTACTGTTTCCTTAGTTTAAAGATCAGTTTCATTAATGGCAAATCATGAGACAGTGTATACCTTCACATATAGATCTGTGTATTCTTGCTACTGAGCACTGATGACAATCATGAGGGTCTTCAAACTGGTGCCACAACAACTACTATCTCAGCTAATCATTCAATATCTCTTGGATTGCTGTTACTGTTTTACGTTCCTGTTCAGCCCTCACATTCATTCCATGCAGGGGCAATACCAAGAATTTGTCAAATTCTTTAGTATTCCTGCTCTACTCTATATTTGATGTTTCTTCATTTAAAGACAATGAAACATGAATTACTCCCTTTTTTACCGTCTGACCTGAAGCCTTCTATACATATTCTACCAACTTATCCCTTCCTCTACCTAAGAAGAATGCCACTCATCTCTATCAAAATTTAACCCAAACTCTAAAAAGTAAATCCCATGTCTTTCTGCCTTTTCAGAGACCTTGCTGCACCTTCTATATTTTTCCTGTTTTTTTCAATCTTCATACTAATAGCTACCCGTTCTCAGCCTGTAAATGTGCTTGTTTTAAAAGAGAAGCATTTTAACAGCTGCATAACTTTGCTGCCTCAACTTTCTCAGTCTAATGGATTTATTATAATAATGTATTTAATTTCCTTACATATAGTGATATAGCCCACATATGCATTTAACATGAATGCGTGTTACTTTTTTTTTTCTTTTGTTTGTTGTATCTTCTTTTCCTCTTCCTCTGTTGTCTCCTCAGACATGAGTAAATCCTCTAGCCCTTCAGGCAACTAGTATCAACAGCCAACAGTGTTCCTGAAAAGATGCGCTACCTGCATTTGAGTCAGGAAAACACCAGATGGGAATGGCTGCTGACTGCAGGATTTTTAACAATCCAGAAACTAAATGCCAATAGTTCACACAGGCTCTCAGCAATGGTTGGGAACCCTTTTCAAACCCCGTCTCATATTCTCTCCACACTCATACAGTCATACTGACATATATGTTGATAGAATACCTGCTATTGAACAACATTTACATTTCTCACATAACTCAGGCATACAATAGTCTCTCTCTCTTTGGCAAATATGTATCCATTTATCTTTATACTACGTGTTTTTTTGATAATATTTCTCAGCTTACACTTTATTATTTCTAATTTTGTCTAAACATACTTTGTGTTAGTTTGTCTAATTTATTAACTTAGACACATTAACTTTTATTTAAATTAAAACATTTAAAGTTAATAATTAGACACTTTTGAGGATAAACAGAACTGCAAAAATAAATGCCATTATATATCCATATTTCATAATTATATACATAATTACATACATGTTTCATACTGATATATACATATTTCATATGCATAAGAAATATATATTAATTGGCAAATGGTTTTAGTATATTGATTGGCCAGTAAAATAGTTTTAAGCAAAAACTATTTTCAAACACTGAAGTAATCTAGATCCATGCACAAGCTCTATTTGCCAGCTTTGGATAGCAAATAATTTCCGTTTCCACATCAAAGATAATTTTTTGCTTGTGTGTGAGGAAGATTGGTCCTGAGCTAACATCTGTTGCCAATCTCCCTCTATTTTATATGTGGGGCACTGCCATAGCATGGCTTGATGAGCGGTGTGTAGATGAGTGCCTAGAATCTGAATCCATGAACTCTGGGCTCCCAAAGCAGAGCATGTGAACTTAACCACTACACCACTGGGCCAGCCCCTAAAGCTGAATTTTTTTATATTCCAATTTTTCAATACTTTTATTAAAGATATCTAACCTACTTTGAACAAGATACGTTAAAAAAATATAGTTTGGGTTCTCTGGGAAGCAGATGCTAAAACAGATTTAGTATACAAAGAGTTTGAATGTGTGAAGGAGAAGGGGCAACACCAGGATTGGGTAAGGGGAGTCATTTGACCATGATTCATGATTCATAGATCCCTGTCAGGCCAAATGGGAGCTCCAGAGCAAAATCTGCTCGATAGAGGAGTTCTTCATCCATCAGAAAGGGCCAAGTACTTATACCACCACTTCTTCACTATTGGGTCACCCCAAGAAGATTGTGACTTTTGCTGGAAATTGGACATAGGCCCTGAAGTGCTCTTCAGCTAACCACACTTCTTGCAGCTGGGGAATAAATTACTTCTTCAAGTGAGCTCTGAAAAGTGTATATTCACATCTGCTATACCAAATTAAGCTGGTTTACTAAGCACTCCTTTAGAGGCTTACTTATTTTTAAAACTTGATTGAAGAAGATCAGCAGGAGAGAAAGCGCACACTACAGTCCTGAAGTTTTAGTTTTTTACTTAAACATCAACTTTGTCTCAAAAATTTCCCAATTCAGTTACTCTAAATGTGTATGGAAAAAGAAAATAGACAGGAAGAATTGCCTGGATGGAATCATGAGTAATGTTTGTACCACAATCATTCCAAGTACATTTCTGAACAAAAAGTTCCTTAATTTCACAAGAACATTGTTTTTACCACACTGCTGTCTTGTAACAAAGTATGAATGTATATCATCTCTGCATTAAAAAAATGTATCTCTAATGTTAAGCTTCTTAACTGATGTCAAAATAACATTCACAGTAAGATCAGGAGTTTTACAGAATAAAATTTGGACAGAATAAATGTTCAAAAACTTTATTTTGAATCATGCATTTAAATAATATAATTAAACAACTTATACAGATGATTGATTTTTTGGAGTGACATCAACATTACGGCAGCATAAGATGTCTTTTTTTTCTCACCCTTCCCCCTCCCCCGACACACACAACAAAAATTAAGTATCCATCCATGAACAAAAGTGCCTCTGTGGGAGGTGTGGCATCCAGCACCATGTGCCAAGGAAGATGGGAGAAGTCGCGCCCACCTGTGCATCGGGTAATAGGTAGACAGACCTCGATACTGGCTGTGGTCTCTGCAAGAACCTATGAACAAGTACCAGCCCCTCCCAGCCTTGGCCTGGTAGTACTAAGAAAACATTGACTGGGTAGTCACTCACGGATGAAAGAGCCTTTATGGTAGATTTAAAGAGGAGAAGTTGCAGCACTCTGTTGCATCAAAAAAATGGGAGTTTAGAAGCACTGGAGTATGTAAGAGGAACAGCTTGACTTTATCCTCATCACTCCTCCCCATGGCAGCAAAGTTTAGGGCTAAGAGAGACCTTCTCAGTTCTTGATTTCTCCTGACGGGGGAAGGGAGAGCAGGTGAGTGAGTGCCCAGCTTCCCCAGATGTGCAGGACTCCGCCAAAGAGACTCATTCCTCTCATAGCATCTGGAGTACTAAATAAAATAAATAAATAAAATTTAAAAAATTAAAAA